CATCCATCCATCATCCATCCATCCATCCCCCATCCATCCATCCATCCATCCATCATCCATCTATCTATCCATCCCCCATCCATCCATCCATCTATCTATCCATCCCCCATCCATCCACCCACCCATCCATCCACTTATCCACCCACCTGTTCATTCCATCCGCTCACCAATTCATCCATCCACCCACTTATCTACCTACCTACCTACCTACCTACCTACCCACCCATCTGTTATCCAACAATCCACCCACCCATCCATCTGTCAAACAAATTGAGCACCTTCTATGTGACAGGCATAGTCCTAGGCTCTGAAGACAGTGAACCACAGTAGACTGAGGCAGGCAAAGGCTCCCACCCTCAGGGAACTTAGTTTCTGCTGGTGAAAGAGATGAGGCAGGACAAGAGGAGGAGGGGTCCGTTCAGAATTCTGACACAGTAGCCGGGGAGGCAGCTTTTGAGCAAAGAGAAGAAAAAAGCAGGGAGGCCATTAGGAGGAAGGATGTTGGGTGAAGGGCAGCTGAGTGAGGAGCGCGTGAAGGGCTGTGTGCCGGACAGGAGACAAGGGCGAGGGCGGGGAGGGCTCCCAGGAACCTCATTGCCGGACACGGTTGGGCAGTTGCTCTGAGCCACTGGGGAGGCCACTGGAGCAGTGTGAGCACCAGCCCATTGCTGGGGGGGTGAGGCCCGGAGCTGGGGGAGACATGGGCCTGATCCTGGGCTCAGTGGGCTGTGTGTGTGCATGTTTGATGACCGGTCCCCTCACGCCATCTCCTTTACGCTTTTCCTTGCAGAGCACTACAGCTATGGGTCCCCCAACATCAGCCCGGGTCTGCCCCTGCCCACGGCGCACCCCTCGCTGCCGGTTCAGTGCCACGACATGCAGACGTCGGCCCCAGGCATCTCGGCCCTGGCTGCGGCGAGCCACCCCTCTGGGTACGGGGCTGCTGTGGACGGTGGGCCCTCGGGCTACTTCCTGTCTTCCGGCCACGTCCGGCCCAACGGAGCCCCGGCCCTGGAGAGCCCTCGCATCGAGATAACCTCGTACCTGGGGCTGCACCACAACAACAACCAGTTTTTCCATGACGTGGAGGTGGAGGATGTCCTTCCCAACTCCAAACGGCCCCCGTCCACGGCCACCCTGAACCTGCCCAACTTGGAGGCGTACCGGGACCCCTCCTGCCTGAGCCCTGCCAGCAGCCTGTCCTCACGCAGCTGCAACTCCGAGGCCTCGTCCTACGAGTCCAACTACTCCTACCCCTACACGTCCCCGCAGACGTCCCCGTGGCAGTCCCCCTGCGTGTCCCCTAAGGCCACGGACCCCGAGGAGGGCTTTCCGCGTGGCCTGGGGGCCTGCAGCCTGCTGGGCTCCCCGAGACACTCGCCCTCCACCTCGCCCCGCACGAGCATCACGGAGGAGAGCTGGCTGGGGGCGCGCACCTCCCGGCCCTCCTCCCCCAGCAACAAGAGGAAGTACGGCCTCAACGGCCGGCAGCTGTCCTGCTCCCCGCACCACTCGCCCACGCCGTCCCCGCACAGCTCGCCGCGGGTCAGCGTCACGGACGACACGTGGCTGGGCAACACCACGCAGTACACCAGCTCGGCCATCGTCGCCGCCATCAACGCCCTGAGCACCGACGGCAGCCTGGACCTGGGCGACGGCGTCCCCATCAAGGCCCGCAAGACGGCCCTGGACCATTCGCCCTCGGTGGCGCTCAAGGTGGAGCCGGCCGGCGAGGACCTGGGGACCACGCCGCCCACAGCCGACTTCCCGCCGGAGGAGTTCCCCCCATTCCAGCACATCCGGAAGGGCGCCTTCTGCGACCAGTACCTGTCGGTGCCACAGCACCCGTACCCATGGGCCCGGCCCAGGTCGCCCACGTCCTATGCCAGGTGAGCGGCTGGGGAGGTCTGCGTGCAGGGGCCACAGGGCTGGGTCCTCCTGCGCCTTGGAGCCAGGATCGCCTCTCCGGGCCCCGGGTGTGCTGCTGGTTTGGGGGGTCTTGTCTTTAGCAGCATCACCCATCTCTGTCCCCCACGTCACACAGCTCTCTCCCTGGTGTCCCAGTGTCCGAGTTTCCCGTGTTTTTTTGGGTTTTTTTAAATGTGTTTATTGGTTGCAGAGAGAGGAAGGGAGAGGGAGAGAGAGAGAGAAACATCAGTGAGGAAAGAGTCATTGATCGGCTGCCTCCTGCTCGCCCNGGTGAGGAGAGAGTCATTGATCGGCTGCCTCCTGCTCGCCCCCGACTGGGGATCCAGCCNAGTGAGGAAAGAGTCATTGATCGGCTGCCTCCTGCTCGCCCCCGACTGGGGATCCAGCCGGCAACCTGCACATGTGCCCCGGCCGGGAGTCAAACCGAGATCTCCTGGATCAGATGCTCAGGTGCTGAGCCACGCCAGCGGGGCCGAGTTTTCCTTTTTATCAGGACACAGTCGTAGTGGACGCAGCCCAGCCTCAGACACCATCCTACCTCTTCACAGGCCCACCTGCAAACAAGGCCACATTCTGCGGGCTGGGGGCTGGGCCGCTTATGAAGTTGGGGGATACAGTTTACAGACACGTGCACTTGGCTTCTGTTTTGTGTTTTGTGAAACTGAACGATCCCGTCCTGTTTGCTTTCGCCGCCTCCTAACCCACTTCCCGTCTCCTAATTGCTGTCAGTGCCGTGGAGCAGATGGGGCCTCGGCTCGGCAGGTCCCAAGCGGCAGCCGTGCCCACGCTGTTTGTAGAACAGCACAGCCTCCCCCTCCCTGGAGACGCGCGGGTCCCTGCAGTCTGGTGACGGCTCTGGCACGTCCCAGCTCCGCATCTTGGGTTGTTGATTTTGCTTTTTAATGGCGTGTGGGGCCGCAGGGACTCCGCTGGGCCCTCTCACTCAGCCTGGCATTTTTATTTTTAACTAAACAGCGTTCCCAACAGGTGGGCCCCTGACAGCCCCAGTGCGTGCTTACATGCAGGGTTGTGATGGGGCGTGAAGGCGTCTTCACGTGGCTCCGTGTGTGGCACCGTTTGACACGGGCTATGGCCGCTTCCAGGCAGAGGCCCCTGTGACCTCTGGGGAAAGGCCCCTGTGACCTTGGCAAGGCCCTTGTGACTTTAGGAAATCCCCTGTGACCTCAGGGAAGAGGCCCCTGTGACCTTCATGTCGTTTCGGGGTGGGGGTGAGCTCAGGGTTTTGCTGGAGGGACTCTGGAAGGGAGATGGGGACAGGGTCGTGGTTTCCCGCACCGTGCCCGGCGACAAGGGGCGTGAACTGGAGGGTTGGTTGCTGTGGGACCCTCTGCCCTGCTCTGCGCCTTCACTTCCACAGCTGGGGCACAGGCGGGGCAGCTGTCGCCGCGGGTGGGTGCCTTCACATGTCCAGCGCTGGCATTCCCCACACTGCCCAGAGCCCGCCGGAGAACCGGTGTGAGACCCGACGGTTTGTAAAGCAGTCAGATGGGGGCAGTTAGGAGGCAGGATTCAGAGAGAGAGCAGGAATGAGCCCCAGTTTTTCTCGACGGGCAGTAAGGTGCAGCCCCATTTTTATCGCAGTGTCTGCTTTCAATGCTACAAAGTTTAAAAAGCTGGAATTTTCAAAGGTGCCGTCAAATGTACCTCAGAACCTGGGAGTCATTCACAAACAGGGAAACGTGAAAACCCACTTGGAGGCGTTTTAAACACTTAAGACTGGTTACGTCTGCTGTGCTGTCTTCGTAATTTCTGTGTAAATGAGAATAAGGGTATTTAGAAGCTACCTGCCTCCAGTCGGGCCACACGCGTGTCACAGTGTGACCTCCTGCATTTTCCTGGACCACGAAGGGCGGGGGCAGTCCCGTGGGGCTTCGCTCCAGTCTCGACGTCACGGACAGAGTGACGCTGTAGTTCTGAGCATGAAGCCACTGGTGGCGTAAGGTCTTTAAGAAGCTGTGAGAATTCGAGGAAACCCCGTGTGTTACTTCATCAGGGTCCGTGACGAAATACCAGGCTGGTCTGCGGCCGCCACGAGGCCTCTCTGGGCGTGTGGACACCTGCCAACGACCTGTCTCTTCTGTCTTCCTTCTGTGTCTGTGTCTGCGTCCGACTGTCTCCCACTGGCGAGGACAGAGACGTCCTGGATCAGGGCCCAAGGACTTCACTTTAACTTGATGCCCTGTGAAGACCCCAAGTCCATGCAGTCACATACTGAGGTCCTGGGGTCAGGACTCCAGCCTGTGAATTTGGGGGACACGGTTCAGCCCATTTCCCCCATCCTGCCACTCCGGTGCCAGAGGCAGGCAGCTTCTCCCTTCCTGGCGACTCGGGCGGTTCTGGCAGGTGGCCGTCGGCGGGACCAGGCCTGCATTTAATTCGTGGTCAGAAAGCAGGTGCCCCTTTTTCTTTGCTGTTCTGTGGCCACCTGACTGCTTTTTATCTCCTGGTCGCAGAGCTCGAGTTCGGGGTGACGCTCCTGACATTCCTGTGAGTTATGCAAACAAAGCCCCAGGAAGGCACCAAGCTGCCCCCCGTGGTGAGGTTGACCTTTCCCACCGCTGGGGTCCCACGTCCAGTATGTTTCCTGGTCCCGGCCATCTGTTGCCACGAGACTTGTCAGGTGGTGCTCTGGGCAGCAGGGCCCCGTGGAAGCCAGAGGTGAGGTTGTTTTGCCCAGGGAGAGGGCGACCAGACTTCCTTCCCGAGAAAGTGCGGCCAGCACCAGGACGTCAGCAGGTCCAGCCACGCAGCTGAGGCTGCTGCAGTGATAGCAAAGTCTGGTTGGAGGACCTGCGGCCACAAACCCACCCTCCCCGTGCTCAGGGCGTCTCTGCCCGTTTACCTCTATCCCCCAGGAAGAGGAGCTTTAGTGCTGAGCGCGCCCCCGGAGGGTGTGGGGTCGTTTCCCTGTTGGGTCTTTTCCTCTGCCCGGCATTTGTGACTCACCCCTGGGCGCAGAGCATCTGGCCAACCCTCAGGGTCAGGACAAAGCTGACTTCTGGCTGCAGTTGAATTTGATAGAATTTCATAGCCTGGAGTCAGACATCTTTTAGAGCTTAATGGAGTGACGCTTCTGTTCTTAGAGCTCAGGAAATGCACAGAAATTGCGGGTGACTTGCAAGCCCCCCATAAAAAATCAGGGTTCTAGTTTTCAGGCCTGGCCCTGAGCCTATTTGGAGGGGAGGGTGTTCTCCCACCTCACACTTCTTTCTGTGGTGATGGTGCTGCTGCGGATGGCAGAGTCCCCAGACCCACCTTGTTCCAGGGTGAGGGCACGTGTGGGCACCAGAGGTCACTGGGTGCAGGGGCACTGTGGGTGCAGGGGCCCCGAGGGTGCAGGGGCCAGGGCAGTGGGGCCATTTGGTGCTTGTGTCAGGACTCGCATCTGCATTTGCTCATCTCTTGACGCAGTTAGTAGGTGCCTGTAGCAGGTTTCATATTAACCTAAAGCAGGGGTGGGGGATGTCCAGCCCCCAGAATCATTTGGTCTGGCCCTGGCGAGGCAACCGCAGGCGGGATTGAAATTCAGTGAATCTAGGAGCTTTTATCATAGCTGATTTTTAAGTTGATAATTTTGTATGGCTGGCGAATGATGTTATAAATATCAAAATGGCCCTCGGCAGAAAAACGGTTCCCCAGCCCTGAAAGGAAACTAACGTCTACACGACTGTTAGTTCACTTGATGAAACGACTGAGGCTGAGCGTCAGCCCCGGGCGCTGGGCAGTGTCAGTGCCCTGGGTCAGCTCTGTGTGAGAACCTCTAGTTCTGTTTAGATCGGGGCTGTGGGAAGGTCCAATTTGGGGGTTTTAATGTCCTTAGCACCTGGACCACCTTGACCTGCCTGGAGAGAGGAGAGTCACTGAGGAGGGGAGACTGACGCTGGTCTTGGAAGGCGGGCGCGTTCCCTGCGCCTTGCCCATTAGACTCCGGGACGTGCGGTTGGTGGTTTTGATTTGAGTGGTCACCAAGCCGTAGGTTTTCTAAGGGGGGGAGTTAAGCCCGGTGAACAGCTTTTACTCGGAGCCCGTGGGTTCGGTGGCCGGGGGGCTACACGTCCAGATCTGTGTATTAACATTGCATCTTTTGGGTTTTCGGCTGTGATGTTGATGGTTTAGTAACATTCGTAACTTCTGTGCTGGGCGGAAGCGTTGGCTTCCGGCTCTGAGAAAAGTGCTGCCCCCTGTGGCGTTTATAAGTTAGCCGAGTATTTCAGGCTTGTCTCCCTGTGGATNACTTATGCTTGTCTCCCTGTGGATGGGATTCTGTGAGCGTCAGTTACTTAGGAGAAGAGGAACTGCCGTGCTTCTGGGTCTCGGGCAGGATAAAATCATTCGGATCTTTGTGGCTTTGCCCTCAGGTTTTACGTTGAGCCGTCAAGGTCTGAAACGTTGCCTGATTTTGTAGAATAAGCCAAAGGTCAGACGCGTTACAGCCCTGAGACCGACGGGCTCCTGGTCTGGCCCGCTTGTGTCTGCGAGGTGTGCGGGGCGGTGGCTGTGCCCGGGTTTCACATCCCGGCCTGGGCGCCTTCACGTGTCCAGTTCTGACATTTCCCACACTGCCCGAGCCTGGCCGGGAGGGTGTGTCCAGCGAGGACGGGTGTTAGCTGCCACGGACAGAGCAGAGGGGTTCCTGCGACCTTTCCCTCCCCGCGCAGTGGTGGGAAGGACCCTTCTCCATTGAGTCTGCAGCGAGCCCTGCGGCGGACATGGGCCGGCCGCCTCCGAAACCAGATAGTGCCCTGCCGTGGAGATTAAAATTTAATCGGGAGACGGCGGTCGTCTCCCATTAAAACTAGATCTTCCGTGCAATTAATGGGACTTATTTGCCGGAGTTCTTGGGCTCCCGAGCTGGAGTATTTTTAAATATCACAGTGGGGTTTGCTGTTTTATCAGTGCGTCTAAAATGCCTCTGGAAGCTGGGCTGACACAGGTTCCC